CCCGCGTGCTACTCTTCATTTTTGCAGCCTTCTATATGCACGCCTCCAGAAACAGGCGAAGAACGGACCCCCGAGATGTATATATTTATATCTATGCACTACGATTCGTCCTTAGAATTTTCTATAAGTGCACGCCTCCCGGGCACAGGTGAAGAACGGACCCCGAGATATATGCACTTATACTTGTGTGCTGCGGCTCGTTTTTATTAGCCTTCATAAGGTGCACCACTCCGGGAACAGGTGAAGAACGCATCCCGAGATGCATTATGCACTTGGCAACCTTCTACAAGTGCACACCTCCGGGGACAAATGAAAAACGGACCCCGGATGTAGACACTTCTACCTGCGCGCTACGACTCGCTTTTGTAGCCTTCTACACGTACTACACTACCGGGGACAGGTGAAGAACGGACCCCGATATATATATATATATATATATATATTTATTTATTTATTTATTATTATTATTGTTATTATTATTATTGTTATTATCTTCATTCTTGATATTCCATGAGTCCCAGAATCTCCCGTGCACCCCCAAACCCGCGTGTGCGAGAGATACAACACCCACCCCCTCTTCGATTTCAATGTTTTCCTCAATTTAAACGATACCCGGTCGTAGATGAAAAAATTGGGGTGAACGATACCCTGCGGTGTGATTTCATACAGTAGCCCTCCCACAACAAAACCATCCCACCACCCTCCCCGTGTAGATTCCACAAGCAGCCGCTAGAGACAAACTTCATTGGCATCGCAACACATCAAGAGCAACTTTGCCCCTGTAGTCGCTTTCGAAAGAGCGGATGGGACATGCAGTGGTCATGTGGACAACACAGAGCAACCCGTCACAGAGAGCGGCTCCACATGCAGACGCTCGCTTTCGCAAGCACCGCTCATCGGCAGAACAGTGACAGCACATCATGGTCAGCCATTCCCCATGTAAACACTCGCCATCCTTTTCGTAACTAAGACGACAAGATCCGAAACATATGAAGATACTGTATTCCCCGAGGTGACGCCCCTGCGGAGCACTTTTCGGCTATATATCTGGGACGACTTAGGGCCTGGACCCTGCGGCAAACAAATACCGCAGATCATCGTCTTGGAAGCCTTTCCCCATGTGCATACCGAAACGCAACGACCTCACAACAAAGCTTCTCCCGAAGGTCTGGCGCTGCCACGAACAGAACTGGGAGTAATACAGTGACTCACGTGAGGATTTTATGTCTGGGTCGGTCCAGGGTGGTGGGGGTGGTGTGGCGGGTGGTCTTGCTGGGGACGAGCAAAATTCTACTTCCTGACAAGAAGCAGACAGGTCGTAAGTATTGAGTTGAAGTGAAATCTTCACACGTCTCGGAATGCTCGAGGGTTCGAGAATTACCGTGTGCAAGGATGCAAACCAATTACAGTCCAAATATGTCCAAATCCCTGCCATGTGCTCCGTTTTTTCGAATAATGATCGCAGCGGAAAGGTGAAGCCTTTGGATCAGTCAGGATGGAGGATCTTCCGGTTGGTCGATCGGGGTCTTGCCTGACATGTCTCAGGTCGATCAAGCATGAGCCTGATGCCGTGATTTCGGTTGCGTCACCGAGGCCCGGTGCATACCGGACAAGAGTTGTCCGTGGCAAGCCATTGATCGACACACCTGCCAGGCTCGAAGTCGCTTCACAGTCAGGCCTTGATCTCGCCCGCCTCTGATGGTAGAAATGCAGGCATGGCAGCCTTAACGTTGTCACACTAGAAAGCCTCCACTGTATGAGGGTTGTCGAGACGAGAAGAACAAAGGGAGCCAAGGCACGTCTTTACCTCATCCCCATCTGCAAACTCTTCCAGGCAAACCAAGCACCTGCCAGCAGGCATTCTGATTCCACCCGGTCCAAATTAGGATCAAGACGGTCTCGCTAGTTCTGATCTTGCCAGATGACACTAACTGACAATGCGACGAGTTTGTCCGGCAACTAAGTTTCAGAAGGGCTTCGAGTGGGAACGCCCATGCCGCGTCCCAAAGGGCTTGAGGTGCACGTCAATCTTCCATCGCTTTTCATTCTTGGAGTATCAACATTGGGAGATGCCGAAGAAGTAACGTTCACCAAACGTGCTTCAAATGGAACTCAAATCGCAAGACCGGTCAGCCTTAAACCTCGACACTGGCTCGTGCTCATGGATACTGACGGCACTTTAGAACAGAATGGTGGGATGCGGACTTGGTCTGGTCGCCCAGGTGATCCAAATTCTGCAATTTGCGCCTCGATGACATGGAACTCCATTGGACAGAAGAGCTCTTGACTTGGGTGGGATCAAAGACTCTGCGTCGAAACGTTAAGGCGAGGTCGTGGGCAACAAAGCAACATCTGTACCTCCCAGGAGACGTATGAGGAGGAGTCTCAATTTGCGATGCGGAGAGTGCAGCCAAGGCTCGTCTGGCTGGGTTGGACTTATCTGCCTTGGCAGATTTGCATCCCCAAAACAGCTGGCCCAAAGCCGACACCCCTAGTCGAGAGGTTGAGCGGAGCTTTCGCAGGGCTGCAAGCCTTCCCAGCTATGAAAACAGCACCGGTCGAACAGACCCCAAGAAGATTTCCAGAAGCACATGAAAGCGAGGGGCTGGAGTTCTGAGAGCCTCTTCAAGGGGGGAGGAAACGAGACAAATGTGGGACCCTTGATTGTTGTCTACCCGCACCAAATTAAGAAGTTGAGAGGACACATCTCTTGTTTCGTGCGGATGGCGGGGAGATCCGCTGGTGAATGGCTTGAGCTTAGTCTGGAGTTCCACGGCAGCCTTAGTACCCTGAATCGAATTCTGCTGCAATTCTGTTGAAACAACCTGGAGAGCCGCATGCTTGAGAATGGAAGGCAACTGATACAAAATGAGCAGGTTCTTTATCCGGTGCTGTCAATGTATCTTCGACGAAACTGCTGACAGGCAACATCTGCTGCTGCCATCAGCGCAGCAAGCAGTGCCTGCCATGCATGCCGCACAAGGCAGAACGTCGGCGAGCTGACTGATGAGTGCGGTTCTCTGTCGTGCTGCGGTCGTAAGTGAGGCTGTGCTACCAATGGGATCGCTTGCCGCTGGCCATCCATTGGAATGCGGACTGCAGCACAGCAGCTGGTACAAAACAAGAGAAGCTCCTGTCGCGCTGCCCATCAGGCTCAGACCCACTGGACCATTCATGCTTTGCATAAGCTGACGGTCGTTGAAAATCCTCATTGTCATCAGAGCTGCCGGAAACATGTGACGACACGCGGCAGTGCAACGTCCTTCCGAGAGTCTTAGGACGCCGCGCTTCCAGCAGCGCTCGCTGGCCCTCGCTTCGTTGTGCACCACCAAGCGCACCTTGAACAGGAAAGGCTAACGTGCTTCAGCAGGCTACGGACATGCTGGAAGAGGTAAGAGCCTCTTGTGCTGGGTAGTTGCTCTATCAACACGTGGCTTCACTGCAAGGTTGCTGGCTGGAACTTGCGGGCACGCCTCTCGCGCGCCGTGGTTCGAACTGCAGGGGCTACGGGGCAGCATGGCTGTGGCTCTCTCGCAGCTTGAATTCAAAACATATTAAACCCAAAAACCGCAGCCTCTGTGACGTTGCCGCAATTTCCGCAGCTGACTCTGTGCGGCTGGCCGTTTGCCGAGGCCGGGAAAGTGTTCAGGGTGCCTCTGCAACATGAAAACGCGGGCCGCATGAAAGAGACGTTTTCGCAAGTGCAGATCGGGTCTCACGTCGTGTGCGGTATCGAGCAAACGGTACAAGGACTGGATAAAATCCAAACATGGGAATCTGCCACTTCATCCTGAGGTCCTTGCCACAGCGTCGGCAGAATTGCAATGCCGGGCGTTCCCGCAACAATCCACTCTCCCCCGCGGCCCTGAGAAGAAGCAGTCTGGGGCCGAGGATGGCCGAGGCAAGCCGACACACTTCTCTGGCGTGATCGTGAAGCATGGGCTTTTCCGAAGCCAATTCGCTTCGAGAGTTTTGCACGATTCCCAGGCTTGGGCACCCAAGCGGACCCAACTTCTTCAAGGCTCTCAGTGTCAGAAGAGAGGGACATCTCGGGGCTGTGGCACCCGAATGTGGTTCCACGAGTGATGGTGATGTCGTTTGCACTGCCGGGCTGTTCGTCCGGTTATTGTCAATGCAAGTCGAAGCGGCTCTCCACTGAGACTGCAGAATCCCTCAACTGAGCTCCAAGCTGTTGAGGAATAGATGCCTGTGCATCTCAGCATCTCTGGCTCTGGCGTGCGTTGGTGCATACCATGACAACATGACGGGGTGTGCGAACAAGCGCGTTTGCCCCGGCCGAAGAGGGCACAAGCTCCCCCAAGGACCCCGTAACCTCACCCTGCCAGGCCCTGCCACCTGACCTCATCACCTTTCATGTCCGTTGGCCCCTTTGACTCTGCCCGACCCCCGGCTGCTCACTTCTGCCGACTTGTCTTCGCTTCCTGTGTCCCCATTGGTGCCTCTGCACGTAAAGCTGTAACTCCTTCCTGCCGCGACTACTTTCAGCTGCCGGCCAGCCGAGGTGGACGAAGCGAATCGTTTACCCGCAACGCTCCACCGGCGCAAGGCATGATTACCACGAGAGCTGGCCAGCCCGTCCCTCCCTCTCCCGCTGTCGTAAGGCAGGTTCCTCTACCCTTCCCGCACGTGCACGCGCCCTGGTCTCGAGAACTTGAAGTTGCAGATTTTGCGATGAGGCCACGTGTCACAGCTCTTGCATGCCCCCGTGCGAACACTAGAGTCACTAGAAGCACCCCCTGCACTCAGGTCAAGGTCGAGAAAGGTGCTGATCCCCCTTTCGCAGCCTGTCGCTGCCAGCCAAGAATCTGAAAATGAAGACGACCACACATGCACATAGCACTGCACGTCATGGCAGATCCTCCAAAATGGTGACAGGAGTCGGAGAAAAAACACTTGAACTCTTTACCACCCTGTTCTGGGCTTCACGAGGCTCTGCATTGCGTCTCTTGCATGCCACTCCGACATGCACTTGACGTACAGGCCCCCCGTCTTTCCCTCTCCCGGTCTCTCAGTATCATGTGCGGTGTTGCCTGGAACTGCTCGTGGCCTGCACTGCAGTGAACACTCGGCGTTACAACCGCTTGAAGCTGTAGACAGAGGTCGCGGCATCTGTTGCATCGAATGGACAAAACTCCTGTGCTATGAGGGGGTGGTCGAAACCTAGGCTGACCCAGGCTCTGCCAAGAACCAAGGCAACGATCATGGAACGCCTTGCTTTGCTCATGTTGCGAGTCCGAGGCCGTGACTGCTGAGCTTCACCGCAAGCAGGACAGACCGCACGCAAAGTGATTGCCTGGTCCCGCAAATTGGTCGGGCCGCGACATGTTTCAGTGCCGTCGAGGGTGGTCCAGGCACGTTGTGAATGCTCTTGGATAAGGATTATGAAGCCGCAGCTGGGTTGCCGGAGTGTCAGGTATGAGCCGGCGTGAGGAGTTTGAACTGGAGCTTGATGGACCTGCAAAGCACTGATCGCAAGGTGCTAGTTGTTGCGGCATTTCGCCCAGAAACCACAACCATCAACGAAGCCGATCCATTATGAAGACGCTCCGACGACGGAGGCATTGCTTTATCCGATGTGGTGGCTGCAAAAAACAACATGAGCTACAACAGTGTGGCCTATGGGTTTGATTTTTTGCAACCACGCCATCTCAACGCGTCTGAACCCGAAGTTCGAGTCTTTAATCGTTCAAAACTGCGCCTGCCAATCCGAAAGAGGCCATCTCCTGACTCAAGCACAGGTCGCTAAGCAGGCTGAGAAAACACTACCCCTTCAATCTGTTCCGTCTCAACAGCCAGGATCGCCTGTTCACCGGCCCCGTTGCATCGTATCGTCTCTTGGGCAGGGCCCTTGCATATTGGCACCGGAAAAGGTCCATCGCTTTTGGAAGCCTTCGCCCCTGACTGTGATGACGTCTTAGGATGTCTCCACTGTCAACCCCAAACCAGATCCAAGCCAGTATCACAGCTTCTTAACGATCAATAACTCTTCTTCGGCTTCCGGCGCACACTGTCCTCCAGCATCATTCTTCGCGCCATGGCTTCGTCTTCCTGCTCCTGTCGAGATCGGCCCGAAGACATGCTACTGCGTCAAATCTCCGTCATCATCACCGGGCCCTGGCATTCTGTCAAAGTCCTGTCTTCTTCTGGCGGCAGCTGCATCATCACTTCCAGAGCCTAAGCTTCAGCGTTTAGAGACGTTCTATGTCGAAGTTTCAGTCACGCTGAGTGCAAAGCTCCGCTGTCCGGCCTGGACTATGCTTCAGTCTGAAAGAGCGGTGGTATACGCGGCTCACTTCAGACCTGCTATTGGTACCGCGCAGCTCAAGTGCGGTCTTGCCTCCTGAAAGCTCGCAGACCTTGCTGCAGAAGATGAGCCTCCCATCGCCTCAGGGCCAGGGTATTGCTCTCGTGGCTTGCAGAAGTAGCATTTTCTTCAGGAGTGCTCCATGTTTCGGTTGCTGCATCACATCCACTTAGGATTCGCCGCACATGCTAGTGGTGATGAGAGCGACAGGCCTGGACAGCATGTAGTCTGCTGAGACACCAGTAGGGCACGGGCCGATAGCACGCTCCGCAAAAGCAGCAAATGCGAAGAAGTTTTTGTCTCAGATGCCAGTGTCAATGGAAGGCATGACTCCGACCTAGCCGACCCTACTCGACTTGACCTGACAGAGCTTTCTACGGCTGCTATCTGTTGATATCCGTATCTGACAGTGCAGTGGGGTGGTCAAGTATGCATTGCGGGAAAGTGTCTTTGGCCCTTTGGCAATGGCATGTCCTGCTGATTCCTGAAACGGCGACAGAAGTGTGGAACGCCAACAGCCTGTCCCCATGCAAAAATGCAGGCAACCCCGTGTCCCTAGCGCCTACAACATCTTCGGAAGAGTCGTGTTCGATTGAGCCAGCCTGCTTCTGCGAAAAAGACAGGCCAAACATGCTTCAAATACCTTCAATTATGTTCCACGGTTCGTGTGACTCGTTGCGCGTTGTACGTAAAGAAGGCCTAATACTGAGCCCGTGCTGCAGCCCTGTGGTATCAGTCTTGCCTTCCCCCGGGTCAAACATTCGTGTCGAAAGGCTAGAGGCTGGATGCAAGACTTTGGGACGGCTGTGTCAGGCCTGAAGATGTCAACTAACAACTTGACTCTGCCGAGAGGTTGCTCCCGTCAACCTTTCCGTCTAGCCGATTCACAAACGTGAACAGGGCCCAAAACCAGATCCAGCAGTTTTAACACCATGTCAGGCTGTCTGTCCCCAAGAATCTCACTCTCCCTGGATTCCCGGCGACGGTTCCCGGGTTGTCCGCTGAGAAAAGGCGCCTGCAATGGCCCCAGTCAGTGGACATGTCGGCAGCGACCCCTCAAGCAACGCCATCCGAACATCTGATCACCACTACCAGTAGTTAGCATTAACCTGATGAGGCAAGGCATCGCTGGTCAATGCTGACGAATTAATTGTGCATGGGGTGCCGGTAGAACCATCGAGCGCTTTGCGCAAGAAGGCTTCCGGCAGACCCCGCTCAATTATGGCATGGGGGTTGGGGACTAGGGCCGACTAGGAACTCGGGTCTGATGCTCTTCATTGCTCTTGTTGATGGCAGATTGTATTCAGAGCTTCGACGCTGTTGCTCGACAGCGTGCTGTACATACCATGCTGGCGAAGCCACGACATTTTGCTCTACCCCGCACTCAGAATGGAAGCCGAAGTCCTTGCGACTGCCGAACACGGATAGCCATGAACCACCAACTTGAATTTCTGCCACTCGTGAATGCTGGCAGTGCATGTGCAGAAGTGGCCTGCTGCCTTTGACATCAAGGCTGACCTGTGAACTGTGGCTGACTGGGCCAGACAGCACCATGACCATGACTCCAGACTTTGGCAGGTTTCTTGACTTTCTTGTCACTTTGAGGAGCCGGCACAGCCCGTCAGCTCCGCCTCCCCACGAGCTTCACGAACACGGGCTCCGTTGATCACGAGCCGCTGTCCTGGCCAATGTGGCCATGAGCATTAAAGGATATATTGTTTGCGACCCGACAATCCCAACTAATTTATGCAAGCCAAAAGCAGATGGATGAATCTTGCTTCCGCTTCCTTGTAGTTCTGCTCCAAACTTCTCTGCCTGATATGCTTCGAGAGATTTTCTCGAATTTCGGAGCCATTCTCAGGTCATAGACGGGAGGCAGGCAATGCCTGTGCATCCCAGAGACGCCATGCGCAGGCCAGATTCGATGATGGGCATTGGAGCCTTCCGAGCGACATGAAGCGATATAGAGGGATCACGGAGATGGACGGAGTCTGAGAGGTGGACTGGATTGTCCGGGTGGGAACAAATTCGCCAGGCTGAAGGGCTAGCCTTTGCTCAGGCATTCAGGGCGACGCCAGAGGCCCAAGGCCTTGACGGTCATGCGGCTCAGCGGCTCTTGCCGCTCCAGCTTCCCCACGCGTCCGGCCAGTGCCTCGGGTCCCGTCACTGTTCGGCTTTTCTTGACTTTCGGCGTGCTGGCACTGGCCTGCACCGAAACAACTGCTTTCGCTTCACCTCGTTTCACCTGAGCAATCCCGGCTGCTAAGGGCGCTCAAGAAATGCAGACGAAGGTCGCGAGGCATTGCAGCAATGGTCCTGCCTTGGCCAGGTGCCCCTTCAAGTCCTGCAACCGCAGGACCTCTTCGCCCTCGAGTGACCTGAAGTGGCTTTGGGTTCATCTAGCGAATCCAGCCGAACCACCTGCAGAGAGCGGGCCTTGAAAGAATCTTTGGAAGAGTTGCGTCAAGGTTGCTTTCACCGAGATCCAGACATTGCAGCTGTGGCCACTACTTTGATGCTTACTCCAGGGTGAACATCTTTGAAGCGCAGTACCTGTCACGACACGTCTCGTCTCTACGGCCAGCTGCAGCAAAAAAACAGCTACTGGCCCTGACCCTAGCCAGCCTCCATGTCGTTTTCACGTGTGGAGGTGAAGCCTTGAAGGCGTACTCGGCCACCTCGCTGCAAACCCAGACCTCAAGAAAGCAAGACATCTTGGAAACCATGGTGAATCTAAGTTTAAGTCTCTGAGGCAAGATCTTCGATAGAATGCTCGAGCTGCAGCACCGCTGAAGACAACTTTCACGTTGCCGGACATCGTCTTCAGTAGCACCTTCATGGCAAAGCGCGCTTCGGCTGTCAGCACTGTTCGGTGCATGGTCGACACTGTGCATTTCTCTGCTTTGCATGGCCGTGGCACATTCAGACCACTAGTCACTAGTCTTTATTTCAAAGCCTCGCCACGAAGCCCAGCTGTGTCAAAGCCTGCCCTGCTAGGCTCAATGGACTAGCCAGCATTCTGCCACATGCGACGAGATGACCTCTACTGTCCTGCTGAAGTCTACAACGTTTTGAACTCCTGCATGATGTTGCGGGCAGTGTGGCAATGCAAGACAGGATAAGCAGCAGGCCTGAAAGGCCTTTCCGAGGGCGGAGGTCACTTCCTGCAGAGATCTATACTCAATGTCGCCTGCGTTTGGAACGTTTGCTTGCGAGGCCATTCAACGACTCAAGGCTTTGCAGAGATGGTGTGGACCTGAGCTTACCACTGGTGGATATAGTGACTGCATAAATCCTGGCATAACAGCAAAATAATGTAGGCATTGTGTCGAGAACCCATGGGAGTGCTGCGCCCTAGGGTGTTGGGAGACCGGATCTAGTGGGGCTTGCCGCGAACCTTTTTGGTAGGCACCGGTTGTTGTGCGGCGGGGGCGCGGGGAAACGAGAATTCACTGCTCAAGCCTCTCTGCAGCGGAAGTTGCGAAGCTAAGGAGACCGACGACCCGTTGCCATTGGGGGAGGGTTTGCCCGCCACGCCGGTGATTGGCTTTGTGGATTGGAGGGCTCAAGTCTTCCTGGGCAGCTCGTGGTGCTTGGGGTCGGAATGGGTCGGAGTGGTGGTTTGCAGTTCAACTCTGGTTCTCAGCTGGTGACCGTTCCGTCCCAGTCTTTCCAGGACTGTTCCACCCGGTGCCAGTGAGATCGACAATGGCTTTCGCTTTCGCCGTTAGGTGTGTTCTCCGACGGCCAGTCCAGGAAGCCTATGACTCCAGGATTCGGTAGTTTTCATTTACACCTTACAGTGCAGTGCACCCTATGACGTTGCCATGGCGTTTGATGTTGGGGTGAACCATCCTTCGTTTCACTTTGGGCAACCTGTTCTACCTGTCATGTGTATATGTATATATTATATATATACATATATATATATATATATATATGTATAAAGGTATATACACCTTCATATCATTTACATCCGGCTGCTTTGTCTTGGCAGTTCGCAATCTGGAAGGTTGTTCTTCCGATGACGACCTGATGCAGTCACGACATTTCATATTCCTGACTACACTGCGACGCAGTTTCTATTTCATGCTCTGCACCCTTGATTGGGCGCTCTGGGCCAGATACTTTGCTTCCAACCCCCGCTTCGGCGAGAGATAGGTTGTTGCAGCTAACATTTGTCTGAGACTTAGACCACGGAACATACGTACGGGTTGTCCTGTCGTGAGCGTGAAGCACCTTGGAATTTACCTTGCAAGACTGCTTGTTCCAACCTGTAGTGCAAGGAAACTCTAGCAAACTCTATTTTTCTACGCAGGCTTTTGCACGAAAGTCTACCGAAGGAAACACGTGTGAGAGGTAGCCTGAAGTAGTTCCTGCTTCCGATACAAACTCTTGATTCGGATCAATTCGCCCCGCCGACCTCCGAGTGACTGTCCGTGCGTTCTTCCACGGTTCCCTGCCAGCGAAACAAATGTGGCCACATAAGAGCCATGGTGAAAGATGGCTGTGCTGAGCCAAGTGGAAGACTTCTAACCAACAGAGGGAGAGAGCTAGACGACACATCTCGTCAGAGCCTCGCCTCCACGGCATCCTTGCTCTTGGAGCGCGAAGGTGCGAGCAGCGCAAACTGGCACGATGCAGAGATTCTGAATGCTGTGAAGGAGCTTTTGCACGAGTTCCCTCCAAGCGCAGCAGCTGTACCTGCCGGAGCAGATCCCGAGCTGGATGCTGCCCCTTCCTGGAGTGTATGCATCGTCAGCGCTGCGCAGATGCCACGTTGGCATGCTTGCTTCTGAGGCTTCTGATTGGTGGGGGCTCAGCTGTCTCTGAAAAAGAGCCAGGCAGCGAGCGGACTTGCTTCTTTCTCGCCTTTGGCGCAGTAGCCTGTGCCTGCGATTTCGGTGGTTTAGCTCCTGGCCGTCATGAGACTGTTGTAACTCGTTTGCTTGCACACTCGAACTCCCGGCAGTCCTTGCTCTTCGGTCGTCCCTTCCTGGCCTTTGTGCGGAATGCCCAGAGCAGCCAAGATGTTGTACCTGCTACACTCTAGTCGTATCGCAGGATGCACCCAGGTATCCAGGAGGGTGTTGCTGCTGCACGCACGAACCATACAGGCAGGAACGGAGCCACGGGTCACTGGCACTGTTTTTTGGGCCCTTCGAGGCCCTCTCTGGATTCTTCTCCTGCCGACGCCAATCCCGATAAGGGTGTGACGTCTCAGTGCCAGTCAGCGATCAACTGAGCTACGGTAATCACCGAGATCACGGCTTGTCACATCATCATGCAGGACATTGCACGAGACCTCCAGGGTCCCCAAAACAAGCTGGTATTTGCGATCAAGACCAAGGTGGGCTTGGATCTTCTGAGCTCAAAGCTGCTGCTTGCATTTCAAGGTGGTGCGCAACCTGATGCAGCAACAACAGATTCGGGCAGGCCTCCTTTGAGCAGTGCAATCAGACAACGGCACTTGCAGCTTTTCCCCAGCCCCTTTGCCCTCTCTATGGCAGACTTCGAGCTGATCCTGCTACGCTATGCCCCGGTCTTTTCTCAGTCGCCCGTGGTCTTTGCACGGCTCTACCCGCTCCAGCCCCGTCTTTGCATGAGCTTGCGCTAGTGCCTCCTCTGTCACTCAAGTCTCAAGACCCAAGATCCGCACAAGGAGCTGCAGCGTTGCTATGCATACTTCTTTGAGTTCGCAAGCCACGCCGTTAAAACAGGACGATGCTACCTGACAGTCAAAACCAACCCTATGTTCCACCCCGGAGAAGCGTCTACCAAGTTCAGCGCGTGTCCAGGCAGGAATGGGTGGCTCTCCAGTCCCCGTCCAAAGAAGAAGCTGGCTCTGAGGCTTGCTGCTCAGCAAATCCAGGAGTGGTTGAGAATTGCGGAGTGCAAGCCGTGCATTCACTGCATACACGAACCCGTGGTCTGCCTCACATCCTTTGCAGACTTCCAACATCGCTTTCATGTCTTCTCCAGTGTATGCATCTCCGTATGCCCTCGACACTCGCCAGCCGAGGCTCAAGTTAATTCCTGGACAGTGCTGCCGCACCGCAGAAAAGAAGGCTGCTGCAGGAACTGGGCACATCTGAGACCGTCGATTCGGACCTGGCAAAATGTCTGCATTGATCCAAACAACCTGACCGTTCTCAAGGAGACGCAACCTTGCAGCAGCCAGCTGTGGCAAGCAAAGTTGCAACGATCTCAGGTCTTTGAAATCGAGCTTGATGTGATGTTTCGCTTCCGTGACGCAATTATCCAAGAACGCTTGAAAGGAAAGGTCGGATGTTCTGGAAGGTGGATGGGCCATAATGGCAATCTCGGAGCCACCCGGGCTCGGACCGTCAATCATGGCACCCATCAAGATGTCTGCTTCTATGGCAGTGATGTTCGGATTGGTCAAAGCCGAATGGAGTTGCCGCTTGCTGCAGCAGGAGTGCTCCCAGGTCTGAGTCGGCGACGGCAATGGAACCCATGCCATATCAGCTACACAGCTATACATTGATGTTCTCAAACGTGTTTGAATGTAACAAGTGAGCCAAGCACGGCCGCATGCTTTTTGTTTGCTCAAGCTGGAGTCAGTATCATGCAGCTAGGCAGCTAGTGGGACAGAATGCACATGGGCCACATGGGTGGACTTTCGAGCAGAAGAGGTGCACCCTCACGCAGGTCATAACGTCCGGCAGACAGAGCCATGCTATGGCAGCCTAGCAACCTAAAAGCAGCGGCCGTGGAAAAATCTTCCGCTAGACTCATCTGCGGCACTGGCGGCTGATCCGTTTTCCGAGCCCCCGGCCACCGGAGCAGAGACAGATAAGCTTTTCATTGAGCGACTTGTTGGTGTCATCCGAGGTCGCTTTGCACTTTTGCCTCGTCTTGTACAGCTGCTACCGAGGATTGCTGGTACTTGAGCTGCGGCTGCAGCTTGCCTTTATCCCGGGCATCAGCGGCAACTCTCCAGACCTCTTGCACGGTTTATGTCTCTCCCAGAGCAAGCTGGCACATACATTTCTTTGCAGCTCGACGAACCTTCGTGCCCACAGTGTTTGGAGGCTTTGGCTTGTCGAGGCCTGGGCGGCGGAGTGGAGCTGTTTGGAGCTTGCGCTTTCTTGGATCGGGCCTGTCACCATGGCCGGTGGTGCTTGTGAGCAGAGGATCGGATCCTGGTGACAGAAAGGTTCAGTCAGTCAACAGCGAGTCCGCATCTGCCAGTATCCTCCGGCAATTCGGAGCCCCAGTCAGCGGGACGCTTGACAGGCTTCAGGGCCCTGAGCGCCAGGGCCTTCAGCGCGACGGTATTGGAAGGTATCCTCTGGCACTTTGCAGGGGACTCCTCGTCTGATAATCCATTGCCACGGCAGCTCGGAGTGCGGCCCATGGCACTATGCAGTCCTCTGAAACTGCTGCATGACCACCAAGCCGGATACGGTGCGTGTCAGATCGTGTTCAGGACAGATTGACTGACAAAGCATCGAGTTTTTGTTCTTGCCTCTCCGCATTGTCAAGGCTGGTCTAGCGTTTTTGGTGCCTCATCGTTGGACAGCCTTCTCATCGCCTCAAACTCAAACTCCGCTCTCACTCAAATCACATCAAACATCCACTGTTCAGTCGTCTACGACGCGCTTGGGCTTCCGGCCTTCCCCGCGAGGCCGGTGCCACCAGGCCGCAAAGACACGAGCCTCACGTCTGAGTCACCGACGACCTGCGGCACTGTGAGTGACCAACCCAAAAAGGGCTTGGAAGGTGGATACTGTGCATGTATCTCTAGCCTGCTTTGACTGATGCTTCGCCTTGGCTATGCCAATTCTTTTGGCCTCAATGAACAGATGAAGCAAGTCAGCTCTTATGAACAAAGACGCAAGCCTCAACATCATAGACGGTGTAGAAGGCCCTGAGGAAAGGCATTCCGAGAACGAAAATGGCTCCTGAAACAAGAACTACCAGCAAAATGGGCAACTGCGTTCAAAGGCTTGCTTCCCAAGCCCAGCTAGTAGCAAGCATGTCCTCTGCCAGTGTCGCCCACTGGCATCAGATGAGCCCAGCAATTGCCCAAGCCATCCTCGAAAAACTCAACAGGTGGTCGGCAGGATCCCTGGCCCTGGGCCCCTTGTCCAGAAAACATGCGGTTCAACGTCGAGGATCGGAATGCTCCGGTGCTCCGGATCGATCCATGTATTCATCTGCCTCCATCTCGAAGGTGTCTGAGCCAATCCTGGCGCTGGTCTTTTCACGCTGCCCTGCAGCTCGCATCTGGCATGACTGAGTGTCGGGCTGAAAACCCAGCTTTGGGAAGTGCGCTGATGTGGCACACGGCATCTGGGTTCCACCCTTCCAGAGCGGTACATTTTGACAGCGAGTCGTCCGTTTGGGCTGATGATTAATTTTCTTGATCATTAGCTGCAACAAGTTCAAGAGCTATGGTGAGTCTCTACTGGGTATTCCGACCTCTGAGCAACCCGAAGAGCGCTTGCAGCAGGCAAGATGTCAAAGCGAACCGCGCGACGCGAGGAAATAGAATATTCGCTTGAACAACAGTCCGATCAAGCCTTGTTTTGGGACACTCCGGGTCGTCATCGAGGTGTTGCGAGCGTTGTAACATGTTGTAACACAGTGGGGACGTGGGTAACAAAGGGGAAGATCACGTGCACGTCTTGAGGCCTGGAAAGTCAGCAACTCGAGGATTGCATCAAGATCCGTTTTCGGACCCATCCTGCCGTCTTAATGCGATTTCGGTTTGCACCATGATCATGCAAACCACACATGTTCGAGTTTGCTTGTGCGCATGTAAGCTCCGTGCAGAAGTGAGCTTCCAGTGTCCAGCACACCCTGGCAACCCCGCTCTCCATGCTTTGAGCCTGTCATGCAGGATCACTCTTTGATAGTCGCCGCCATTTTCGCAGAAACACAGCCGAAGGCACAGAGCCCAGTGGGCTTTCCATCGACTGTGATGTCGTCGAACTGAAACTGCCAGTAACCTCAAGCGACTTCTGAGCTCAAGAATCAGTCTGCAGCTCTGCGGCTCTGCATCACAGGCCTTCTTGAGACACATTGACCCAGTGTAGCGAAGACCTTATGTTCAAAGGCTGGCAGACTATGCCATGACTGCTGCCCGGGTCCGAAGTCCCGACGCCATGCGATTGTCGTGGTAATCCCCGAAGGTAATTTCAGCGTCATCCTCAACGTGACGCCTCACAGCAAGGCTACAATTGGGAATTGCAGTCGGAGATCAAGCGGGTCTGAGTCCGCAGCCCAAGATACACAGCAAATACTGGCTTTTTCATTGTACCACTGCTCAAACCTCCTGGTGAAAAACATCGCAAAAGCCAGCCTGGAGTGAATGGGAGGATGCTGCAGTGACTGTCCTTTTAGGAGATTCTGCACGATGTTGAATTCCGCATGGTCGCTCAAGGACTTGCAGGGTGCAGGGCGCAGAAGGAGTCTCGGGAAGACTGAAGCGTTGGCATGAGCTTGCAATTGTTGCGCGACTTTGTCCCGGCCCCGGGCCTGAGCCAGGCCGAGGACGCCGTCCCATTCCGCCGCCTCAAAGGGATCCTTCGACCTGACATACTTGGAAGCCACGAAGCCATGCTCACAGGGAAGACATGACAACGCTAGAAGCTAGAAGCACGTCTAGCAACGTGGAGTGAAAGCGCATCCGACTTGGACGATCAAGCACATTGTTCGTCGTGGGCTTCCACGGATGCACTGGCATCTCCTGCTAGCCTCACAGCTTCGAGCACGTGTTCTTGCAGTACCTTCGGCGTGAAACAGATTTTGCAGGTTCATGCTCCGTGGCGCGGTGAACCTTGCCCATGTGTGACTTTATCCTCCCGATATGGGGCGAAAGCTTGAACCATTTCGCATAAGATGTAGTATGGTATGGTCCTTCTAATGTCTGAGACTACTTTCGTTCAATCGTCAGAAGGCACGGCTTAGCATCTTTGTCGAAACGATCATGGGTTGCCGCCGGGTCGCCGTCATGATACAGCCGTGCTTCGAGCAAATTCTTCCGTAGATCGCAGAGTTGGCGTGAGTCATGGTTCTCTGCAGCAACAGCTTCATCTAACGGTAATCCGTACTGTTGTGGGCTCCAAGACAAGGAGCACCAAAAAAATCTCCAGACACATGAAGTCAATAGGCCGATGCCACAATCAGAAAGTCTCGTGATCTTCATTCGTTGAACACTGGGGGGAATGGGATTAAAGTCTGCCCGAGGGCGAAGGAGCCGCACGGACTTTGCTGCCAAAGAACGCTTCAACCAGTCTTCAATCCTCAACTGCACAGGCTTGTGGAGAAGAAGACAACACGGGGAGTTTACATATTCGGTGACCAGTCGACACTTTCTCCGGTTGATCACAGCACATGCATGCAAAGCAGCGATGACAGGAATCGATCGACAACCCGCCCGGCCCTCGAAGGGGAATCAGCGTTTACGGCGAGAGGCGCAACAACTTTTCGTGGGAATCTGATGTAGAATCACAGAGTCATCCAGCTTACATGGAAGCGATGACGCTTGTTTTGCTGAGACACTATTGACATGTCCGATGCATGCGAGACCCGCATGCAAGTTTCCAGCACCAGTATGTGCAGGTCCACAGTCTTTGCAGAAACTGAGGCACCAAGGTTCCCACTCCTCAGTCATCTCGACGAAATCAGCATAGGCGCACGCTGAACCCACGCAAACCTTGTCTCGAACAAACCTCAGCCGAAGACATGGTAGGTTCGAGGAGGTCGTTGCTCCGGACACCAAGGCTCGCGCTGACCCACGGCGTCACCCGCAGCGAAACTCACGACCTGAGATCTCTCGAAGCTCACGGGAATCTGATGCCAGCGCAGCGATGCAGAAACTGGCATGTTTGGGACCGTGCTGTGGTGTCACGATCGAAATCGTCCCTGGCTTTTTGAAGTGGCTGGTCCGCCCAGCCTGGCTCGCGGAGAGAAACGTAGGCAGGTGCTGACTCGCTGACGGTGCTGATGCAAATCTGAGGTCTTGGCCAATTGGTGTGGCCTTGAACCGTGAGTACCGATGCTCTGTCTCCACATGAACCGGAGGTCCGCTAAGCTTGGGCTCCAGCGGTGCTGCTCTTCAGTGATGCGAACTGTTCGTGCTTTTTACAGGCCTCTTGCAGCCACGGCCGACTTGCTTCCGCCACAGTCCACTGACTGCGAACACATCCGATTTTGACGAAGACCTCGACGCGTGATTATTTTCAAGCTGCCCTGCCCAGCTGATGGGAAGTCTAGAGTGGAAGTCTATCTAGTTGTCTCTATGTCGACCGATCTAGGAGCTAATTTGTGGCGTGCATGTGGAAAACAACATACCAGACATGCATCCTGTTTGCCTTTGGCAAGGACTCGCACTGTCAAGTAGCTAAGTTAAAAGATGTCTTGCAAGCAGCAAAGACGCGTGAACGAAGCAAAAGCAAGCAATAGCCGATCCTGCTGCAGGTCTAGCTCGAAAACGCAATCGGCCAGAGCTCTGCAGGAACGTGCAGGAAAGGCGTGCTCAATCAACATTCCGTGGGTGACCGAGCTCACGCACAGGCACCGGCTTCACTTTCACGCCATCGGGTTCTCGTCGCTCGACGAGAGGATGCCGTCCAGGAAGAGCTCATAACGCCTTGAATCTGCCGGCACGCAGATCAAACAGGACTGCTTGCATCAAACCCTTTCAAAACTCAAAATCACCGGAAACACAGGGAGACTCAAACAATCCATCGAAAGGCCCTGGCCTTGTTCTCGGCATCCCCGTCCTCGTGGCAGGTTGTTCAACAACGGAATGTTCACTGTTGAAAATGGTCCCACCGTCTGACCGACAGACTCGCCACGACCACGAAAAGATTCTTTCTTCCAAGCCCAAATGAATCTGGGAGTGCGGAGCTTCGATTGACCAAAGGTTCTGCGATGCATGATGAACTCTGAAGCACCGGATCGCCCTTACAACCGCTTTCCATTGCTTCCCGTCCTCCAGAGGCAGACCGGCATCAATATCCGTCTTGATGCCAAGAAGGTTGTTGCGCTCTTTTGTGGCTCTGTAAATTGCTCTCCTGATCTTGGGGGTTCTTCATGGCTTAAGACAGAGGCCAACAAGTCGTGGCACGGAAAATCTGTCTCTGACTGCCGTACAAAAATCTACTGAGCCTATGCGAAGGGCAGAACCCCATCTGCTAGTAATTAGACTTGCTCTTGCAGGCAAGAACTTGTTTATCCCCCACTGCTGAAATTTGACAAAGCTGCTTGTCCATCGCTGAGACAAGGTCTGGACCGAGTGCAAAAATACGGTCCAGTCTTCGCAGGCGTGCCTGAGGCTCGGCTGTGGCCTCACAAAGGTGCCGAAAATGCCGAGGGAGTCTCCCTGGTCTGGCAGTTGAGGCACTG